TACAGTGAAACCCTGATTCAAATAAATAAGTAGGTTGTTGTTTGTTTTTGCTCTTTTTCTCTTTGGGGGTCTGCCAAATAAATCACACACAAAGGCTTGTTTTGTTTTGTTTTTGGAGACAGGGTTTCTCTGTGTAGTTTTGGCACCTGTCCTGGAACTCACTCTATAGACCAGGCTGGTCTCGAACTCATAGAGATCTGCCTGGCTCTGCCTCCCAAGCGCTGGGATTAAAGGCATGCGCCACCACCACCACCACCACCGCCCTGCTTGGAGGCTTATTCTTAATTATAAATGCCTGGCCTTAGCTTGGCTTGCTTCTTGCCAGCTTTTCTTAAATGAGTCTGTCTATCTTTGGCCACCATCGCCCAGCCTTGTATTGTACTTTTTATGATAATATAGCCTCATACCTGTACTCCAAAGGCTGTTTTTTCTTCCACAATGATATAGCCTCCACAGTTACTACAGTTTAGTATTTATCATCATACATGTCACATAGTGGAGGATCTCACTATATTTCAAATCTACATAGAAAATAAGTAAACACTAAATATTAATAGTGGATAGTATGATTTGCTAATTTAAATATTTCCCATCTTTTTGTATTTTTGAAAATGAAATTGCCAGCTGCTGCTTAGCATTCAGGCATGTGGATGAGGAGGATGCACTCTAACTATTTAGATAATTTGCCATTTTCCTCTGTTTTGAACAATGCTACAGTGAACATGTTGGAATCCAGATCTCTTGCCCACTGGACCCCGTAGGATTTTACAAACATGGACCAAAAAGGGTCCTACTTTCCCTTCTTTCCCTTGGGATAGAGGGGAGACATTTCTAGAAACAGCTACAGTATGCGTCATAATGTAAGAGCCTAGAGGTGCTGACAGATGCATTTCAACCCAGGAAGGGAGCAGGCTTCCTGGAGGAGGAGGCATGTCAGTCAGTATCTGCCAGTATCAAGCAGAGCTGGGGAGAGGGAGCTCATCTGCTTGGCAACCACAGAAGGCTACGCAGGAGTGAGCTACTCCCATGGCTCTTGACAGCTATGAAAACAGGGCTTTGCATAGAGCCAGAGAGTCTGGGTTCCCAGTCTGTGACTGGCTTAGGAACATGGCAGCTCCCCCATCGGGAGGGCAAGAATCAAATCCCTGCCCTCTTCCTCATCTCCCCCACCACCCTGGGAGAAGGGCAGAGGGGCTATTCCCCCAACTGTCCTGGCCAGTACTGCAAGGCACACCCACAGGCTCCCATTCCTCAGGCTTTCAATGGCTGCTGCCAAACTCTGCTCCTGGAGTCAAAGGAATGTTGAGCAATCTTTGGAATTTTTTTTTCTGCAGAGAAACAAGTACTTTCGAATTCCAAATTCCATTCAGGCCTCCTGAGCAGGCACATTGTCTGCAGGAGTCTGCAAAGCCCCAGTCTTCCTCAGCAAGCCTGGAGAGCACTGGGGGACTTTTCCCTGTTTATATTCTTTTCCTGCTGGCAGGGCTGTAAGACACCATTGCAATGAGGTCATGGGGCCCTGCCCTTCTGCATCCACGGGTGGCTGAGCTGCCAGAACCTTGCTGTCCTGTCCCAGTGGCTCAATGTATTCAAGGGTATGCTGGGGGATGGGCAGGGTCAGGAGGGTTGAAGAACAGTCCTCAGATTGCTGGAGCCTCAGCCTAGGCTGCACTCTCAGGACATCCCATCCCCATACCTGGCCCTTACTTGTGGCCCTGTGTGGCCTAGGGGCTCCAGGTCACATTGTCCAGTTTCTTGGGTACTGCATAAGGGGAATCTACTTGGTATCTGGGAAATTTTAGAATTAACCAATGCCTTGCAAGTCGTTCTCAGCTCAAATGCACCTCCTGAGAAAAGCCCTTTTTGATGCCCCTCCACTAAGACATTCTCCTGATAGTGCCCTTGTCCTCCTCCTAAGCATTGCTTTGTTATTAATAACTCTCTGTGAACTTGCTTAATGTGTTTTCCTCTTTGAGCCTTACGTTCAGACGGTGTCAGCTTCCACAGTTCCTATTCACTTACAGCCGGGTAGGCAGAAGATCAATGAGTCAATGTTTAACACAGTCAGTGGAAGAATCATAAGCTGGGGCTGGAGAGATGACTCGGTAGTTAAGAGTCTATGCTGCTCTTCCAAAGGACCTAAGTTTAGTCTAAGCATCTATGTCAGGTGGTTCAAAAATGCCTGTAACCCCAGTTCCAGCGTATCTGACACCTTGGCTCATGCACATGCACATGCACACGCGCGCGCGCGCACACACACACACACACACACACACACAGAGAGAGAGAGAGAGAGAGAGAGAGAGAGAGAGAGAGAGAGAGAGAGAGAGAGAGAGAGGGAGGGAGAGAAGTAAAAACGAATCTTAAAGAATATAGTGCTGTCAGGTATATAAAATGCAGGTTTCTGATCCACTCTGATCCTATTGTAAGTCCCTAGCAAAAGTGACCTAACGCAAGGAAAGTGAACTTTGTACACACACTGGTCGTATGGCCCCTTTGGTCCTCTAGTTTGGGTTTTTTTGTTATGCTGGCTCTGGATAGGCCCTGATCTCAACTGTACAGCCTCCCATTGATCTTAGGTTTGAGCAAACTTTGAAAGTTTCAAAGCCCATTTTATCAATTATTCTGTCTATACTTCAAGGCAAAAAGTACTATTTCCACAGAAGAAACTACTGTCCCGAAGAAGTGGACCCCAGGCATATGGTTTCCGGGACCAGGGCAGGAGGGGAAGGTGGGAGATAGAAATCAGGTGGAAGGTGGAGTCTTGGAGAAGGAGGACAGTAAGGCAGAGTAGAGAGCCTGGCCAGGCCTCTGATACAAGAACATATCCTCTTTAGAAAGGCACTGGAAACAAGACAGAGTGTGTATGCTCCGAGGACTGGACCAGAAACTGTACTTCATAAGCTTTATGCTTGTATCGGCTAGGCTGCTTTTCCTTTTATTTTTTTTTCCTCTGAGAAAGTGTGTGTGTGTGTGTGTGTGTGTGTGTGTGTGTGTGTGTGTGTGTGTAGGGGGAGGTATCAGGAATGTTGCAATTGGCCTCAGCTGTGCAGAGTGGACCTAGGGAATGGGTTTGTAGCTAGGTGTGCATCTGGCTCCCAGGTAGCAAAATCTTAAAGAGGAAGACACCAAGGGACAGAAGAGCCATTGTTCACTGCCTCCCCAAGCCTGGCCAAGTACCTGCTGAGATCATACCTTTTCTGGAGAAAAGCTGGGGGGTTTTGCCATTGGGAGAAATAGGTTGCCTAAGCCACTTCCTAGACTTGTTGTGAGATTGCCTCATCCACACAGGGATCCTGGTGAGTTCTAGGAGATGCATCAGACAACACAGAGATCAAATCAGGAAGTCCTGCCGTGTGCGGAAATGTGCTAAAAACTGTGAGAAAAGCAGGGAATGAGGGTTTCTGGGTTGAGGCAGACAAAGTAGGAACTGCAGTGGCAAATGCCCAGTGTGTAGGGAAGAGGAGACTGAATCACACTGGCATTGGGAAACATTACCCCAAACCAAGGAGACCTGTCTTAAGTGTCTTAAGTGGAAGAGCAAGCGGCAGCAAAGGTGGGATAGGGGAGTTGGGAGATTGTCCTGGAGATGAGCAGTGGGCATGTGGGCTGTCTTTCCAGATACCGAATAGGCTTTCAAGAAGGAAGTGGGGAGCCGCCAGAGGGTTGTAGTCGCCCTGGCTTCTATATTGAGAAAGGACTGGAGGCAATGGGAAATACTACAGGAAGCTTCTATGACAGCTTGGGTGAGGGGTGACAGGTTAGGCCTGCCTGGAGGAGCAACAGCAAGCAGTGTGAAGTGGTGGGGGGTCCTGGATAGTGGGAAAGAAGGCAGGATTTTTTGTTTGTTTGTTTTGTTTTGTTTTAAGACCGGGTTTCTCTATGTAGCCCTAGCTGTCCTGGAACTAGCTCTGTAGAGTAGGGTGGCCTTGAACTCAGAGATCGGCTTGCCTCTGCCTCCCAAGTGCTGGAGTTAAAGGCGTGCGCCACCATGTCTGAAAGGCAAGATTTGCTGATGGTTTTGATGTGGGATGTGAGGGGAAAGAGGACTCTATGGCTTTTGGGTTTTACTGCTAGAAGGACGGAGACACTATTGGCTTAGATTATGTTGTCAGTACAGCTACTGACCACCAACCTTAGGGCAGGTCCCCAGTCCACACCTCTGCCTTCTCATCTCATTCAATCCTCACAAGCCCAGGAGACAGGACTTGGTCCCCTCAATCCAGGGAGGACACTGATCTGAACTATGGCCACTAGTATATGAGTGTGGAGCTCAGATGCCCTGGGTGGGTTTGACCCATGAAGCAGATGTGCACATCTGAATTCAAGGGTCCAGACGTTGGTTCCTTTGCATCACATGAGTGTGCCTGGATTTTCATTTTGCATTACCCTGCCCCAACACTGCACACACTGTCCTCCTCTACAATCAATCTATCGAAAGCTACAAAGTTTTCCCAAGACCCCTTGTCTCCCTCTGTGTACTGGGACATCTCTCAGCTTATTATTTGGATATTTGAAAATGAATAGGGGAGAATCAGCACCAAAATATTTGGAGCTTGCCTTAAAGATCTTGAGCAGAAGGATGAGTCTGTCATCCATGACTCAGGGGTGACAGGTGGGAGAGAATGCAGGGAGGCCCAGCAGCTGTCCAGTTTCTCCTGGCCTTTATATGAGCACAGCTGACTCTGGGACAGGTTTCTCCAATGGCAGCAAGCTGGAGCCGCCGCTGCTGCCGCCGCCACCACCACCACCACCACCGCCGCCACCGCCGAGTCCTCAAGATCACTTTTTCCCTTCTACGTCAGCAAGTCCTACTTTGAAAGCACACAACTCTGAAACTGATCTAATTAAGATAGGGGTGCAATGCTTGGTGTGTGTGTGTGTGTGTGTGTGTGTGTGTGTGTGTGTGTGTGTAAGGTATATAGGAAAAGTAGACATCCATAAACACAGTATGACTTCAGGGGCTGAGTACTATCCTTCCAACCCAAAGATGTCCTGAACTTCCTTGAAAAGTGGGAAAGAAGACTGCGACCTGTAGAAGCAGATCTCTGCCCAGCCAGAGCCTGTCCCTAAGCTCAATGTTGAGCACCAGGCTGCTAAGAACTGATGTAGCAACGAGCTCAAATTAGTGAACTGTTCCTAGCCAAATGTGCAGCACAGTTGGGGACACGGTCCTGTTCCCTGCTCCAGTCTAGGGTTTAAACACTTACAAGCACTACTCTGGGCTAGGTGCTCTCAACCACTACCTGCTTCGATTTTCATAACTGTCAGGTCCAGACGAAACTGAAGTGCGGAGAGGTTGGGCCTGTCTGGACTTCCCAGTGCTGCTGATAGGCCCCAGATTTGAGATGCAAGTGGAGCTATGGAGCTGTGGAGCCTGCCAGAGGCAGGTAGGTGTGGGGACAGGGATGGGGGTGGGGTGGGGTGGGGCAGTGGTGGTTTGACACACACTCCCTGCCTGACATACTGCTGGGTGTCCCCAGAGTTGCAGGGCGCCCCCTCCCTACTCCCTCTTAGGTCATGCTGCCTTCTCTACCTGTCTGAGGGCTGAGTCTGCTCAGACTGCAGGGACAGAGAGCCAGCGCAGAGGGCAGGGGACGTGGATCCACCGAGCCCCGTGGAGGCCAGAGATGGAGCCTGTGACAGGGAGGAGCTGCGGTACAGACAGCCTCTGTTGGTCTGGAAGACACAAGAACAGTGTCCCGCGAAAACCCTGCTGTTTGCAAACAAACCCCACAAGCTGCGGAAACAGCACATCTTTGTCTGTCCTGGCTGTGGCTCATGCGGCTTCTTTGCCGCCACCCCATCCCCCCATTCCCCCATCCTAGCTAGGGTCCTTTTCTTCTTTGTCATTGTAGCCTTGGAACTGAGTAAAAAGGGTGGCCGGGTGAGCTGAAGCCCAGGCTTACAGCCTCTTCAAGGCAAAGGTCCATGGGGCGAAGAAGATATGTCAGCTGGCAGGGACCTTGTCAAGCCTACTGGCCTGGGCCTCTGCTGCTAGGCCAGCAAATGCTCAGAGCACTCCAGTACCAAGGCCACACGGCTGTGTCATGTCTGCCCAGAATCCCAGGTTCTCAGAAAACCTCAGTGATCGAGAACCTGAGTCGAGACAGATTAGGTGATTTGCCCAAAGTCACACAGCTGGTGACTAGCTAAACTAGTTCCCCATGTTCTTGGAAGAACCTTCCTTCTAATTCAGCTCTCAGTTTCTTTCTCTCTCTGTGAAGGAGAGAGAGACTGGGTTGGGGGTTGAAGCTCGGGCTTGCGCATGCTAGGCAAGCACTCTACCACGGAGGCGCATGCGCAGCCCTCTTCTTCCTTATGTGGGTCCCTCCCAGACCCCAGCCCACCCAGGCGAAGCCAGACAGGGCTGGGCTGAGCTCTCTCCACACATGTGGTGCTTATCACGCAAGCACTGCCTCGGAGGGTTTCGCAATAAGCCTTGTGTTCTGGTCACCCCAATGGGCTTGGAGCTACAAGAGAGCAGGGGGCCTCTCATGCTTTTCTCAAACTGCTGCCCAGGTCACCACCTCACCCATGCCCAAAGTTGAGGCTCACCAAGTCCCCTGCTCAGTGCAGGACCTGACGCATGAAGGACTTGAGGATGGCCCAGATGTTTTGCCTCTGAAGATAGAAAGGCAAGGAGATGTTTGTAGGACCCAGCTCAGGAACGGGACTTATAAAACAGGGAGGTGGCCAAATCACTCACACTGGTCTTGGAACAGGCTCTGTTCACAGAGCCAACTGAAACTCACAGAACTGAAGGCCAACCATGCTCCCTAGAGGCTGCGGGAGCATGGCCGGGAGCATGGCCCAGTCTAGCGCTGGCAGGGGAAGGACCAGGCCAGAGAGGTAATGGGTGCCCCAGATCGGTTGCTGGCTTTCAGAAAGGCGACTCGGGCTTTCCCAGGATGCCCTTCTAGAATCAAGTTACCCCTCCGCCTCTCCATTCAGCAGCCACTTAATCAGTCCAGTCACTGCATCGTATCCAGCTTCCCATAAGCCCAGTGAGGTTTGAGGAGCCTGGTGTGGAGCAAGGGAGGCAGAGCCTGGAAATGAAAATCAGAGTCTGCCTTCAAAATGCCTGTAAAATAGGAGAGGGAAGACAAGCACACACAGATCAGACTGTAGCTGGAAACGAGTGCATGGCAAGCCACCGCTGATCCGACACAATGGCCAGGGAGGCGGGCAGTCGTTCACTGGACTAAACATCAGACGTGGAGTGTGGATTTCCTGTCTTTCCTGCAACCATCCCCCAGCCCACACGGAGTCCAGTGGAGACCCGGATCACAGCCAGCAGCAGCCACCAGGGAATAACCGCCTAATAAATCAGGAGTCTGAAGCTGCTGCAGCATGCAGGGACAGTCCTGGATTTATAGCTCTTAGAGGACACACTACTTTCAGGGATTCACTCTGCTCTGGGGACACTCACACTGCTGACATCAGCGCCAGGACACCAGCGACATTAGGCTGTAAGCGACTTGACAGGCTAATAACTCTCAGTGGCTGCTAGCATCATGGTTTCAGGGAAGATGGCACACGGGCGGGAAAGGACAGTGTGGGCTGGCTAAGGGAGATGGTGTCGTGCTGCGGGAGCAGAAAGGATTCGGGCTGCTGCCCAGTGACATTTTCCAAAGCAGATTCCTTGGTTCTCACTTCTGAACCTTCACACTTTCCTAACGGCTGGAACTCCCCCGCCTCCTCTCATCAGAAGCCCCACCCTTATTTTGAAACCAGATTCTAAAGAACCGGTTGCAGGTCTTGCTGTTTGACTCAGCCTAGTGGACTCTGCCTGAAGATGTGCAGTGTGGGCGGCCCAATGGTCAGTCTGCACTAGTCTTATGTTCATAAAAGCTTTTACACCCTGCTGAGTACCCACGCTGGACTCATTTCTATGATACATCATCAGGAGATGGGGTGGTGGAGTGGTTAGTTCTTTGCCGCCACGCCTTCCCCACCATGGCGGACTGCCTCCCTACAGAGCCACAATAAAACCTTCCTCTCTTAAGTGGCTTCTTTCAGGGATTTTATCACGGCCATAAGAAAAGTAACTAATCACACATGGAATCACCTGGGAAGAGAGTCTCACTGAGGGATTGTTGGCCCATGGGCAGTCTGGGAGATGGTCCTGATTATTTTCGTTGCTGTGGGAAGACCCAGTATCTTAGGGTTCCTATTGCTGTGTTTAAATCACTATGACTTGGAGACAGGAGCTGAAGCAGAAGCCATAGACAAGTGCTGATTTCTGGCTTGCTCCCCATGCTTGCCCAGGCTGCTTTCTATAAGACCCTGGACACTTCCCTGGTGGTGGCACCACTCATGGTGAGCTGGGCCCTTCAACACCGATCCATTAATCAGGAAATGCCCCATAGACTTGTCTATAGGCAATCTGATTGAGGCATTTTCTCAACTGAGAAAATATCAAGCTAGAGGTTCTTCTAGCTTGTGTCAAATTGACAAAACAAACAAACAAACAAAAACAAACAACCAGGACACCCAGGGTCCCTGAAAGTAGGGACCTCATTGCCTGGTTTGGAGTCCTAGACTATGTAGAGTAGAGAAAGCTAGCTGAGCACTAAGCATGCACGCACCCACTTCTCTGCTCTTGGATGAGGATGTGATGTGACGAGTTGCTTCAAGTTCATGCACTGACTTTCCCTAGACAGTACACTGCAGTCTGGAACTGTGCACTGAAGCGAACTCCCTCTCCCTTGTGCTGCTTTTCATCGGGGGGGGGGGGCTGTTATCCCAGCCACAGAAAGGAAGTGCTCAGCCTCAGGCCTCACTGCTCCACTCCAAAGCTTCATCAGGAAGGGCAGCCACACACCCGCCAGGGTGAACTGAACCTCACCAGATGGCCTCCAGTCAAGTCCCAGGAGCACAGGCATCTACTTCACATGTTTAGCTTGATTTTGATATCTTTTTGTTGAGACAAGCTGTAGTCGTAATTTCTGAAAACAGAAACCAGCAAAGTAACTAATATATGGATCATCTCATGTAGTTACTGCCCCATCCTCTGCCTTGTAACAAGAATAGCTTTAATAATGCTCCTTAACAAAAAAAAAGTACTCCATCTTCTTCAAGAACCCAGACTTCAGAAGAACTGGGACAAGTGAAGAAAATAAAGTAAAAGAGGGAATTTCAGAAAGAGGAACTTGCTTCAGTCAAATGTGGAAGGCTCAAAGAGTGTAAGCCAACGTAAGTCACATATGACATGTCTTGTCACATGCCACAACTCGTCTCTTTCCCACGGCAGACATTACTAATTGACTGTAGTACCTTTCCCCGCTCACTCAGGATGTAGGTTCCTTAATGCAGCCATTCCAGATCAATTAAAGCTAATGGTGGGGAAAAGTCATCTTGCCCCTCTGCCTTGAGAAGGCATAAGAAAATGGATCAGGCTGGAGCAAATTTGTGCTTTGGAGGAAGGAAAAGAAAAGGCCAACTGAGAATGGGCCACAGGACCCACTTCCATCATTTTCACTTCAAGAGTGTTAAGTCCAGAGGGAAAAAAGTCTTTGCCCAAGGTCCATGGAGGTCAATGGCAGTGGTGTTGGATTCAAGCCTCACATCCTTTAGGCAATAGGTCGAGGCCAGACATTCAGAAGCTGCAGTTTACAAATGCTTCTGTGTGACATGGGGCTGGCCACACAGGGGCGAGGCTTCACATCAGGTCTTTCGAGCTCTCTGAGTTCACTCTGCACACTAAGACTCTCTCCATCTTGCCCAGATTCCCCTGCTTCATTGATTGGAAACCTGTGGGGGTGTTGAGTGGGGATATCAAAGAGGGGCACACCCAAGTTCATAGGGACATTGGGGAAGATATAACAGATTTCCTCCCACTTTCTCCAGGACCTAAACCAAGGGAGTAAAGACCAATGATGGATCCTTTCTCCCCTAGCATCTGGGTACAGGATGCCACTATGAGTTTTTAGGGATGACAATGTCATGATTTTAAAAATGGTATTTATAAAACATAAGTATGAAAGACTGGTATATCCTGAGTCCTGTCAGTAGAAAATATCTCCTTGTAGAACATCTTCAAATACATGTGGAACTATGTGGAATGGGGATCTTCTTAGCCTGAGAGCCCCAGGATAGATTACCTACAAATGACAAGGACACTTGAAGGGGACCTTCTCCATGACTGAACTGAGATGAAGAAAAGAAGGAGGTTTTACCCAAAATCCAAAAAGTCAAAGGCCATGAGGCTCCTGGGGAGGGGGCAGGAACACAGACAAGGAGGTAGACACAGCCGCAAGCACCCCGTCAGGCTTCTCGGGTCCCTGCTGGTGCGGACTCATGGCTTCTCTGGTCTTTGTTTTCCTAGAGTGGTAAAATGAAGCAGAGAACTAGGGGAGCTGTGGCCCCTTTGGAAGACAGGCCCTGGGGCTCACGGGAGGAGGAGTGGGAGGCAAACTCTGCAGAAGATCAGAGAATGGCAAGAGGGCACAGAGGGACAGCGAGATGGCTCGGGCGGCCAGGACATTTGCTGCCAAGCCTGACAACGTGGGTTCAATCTCCAGAACCCATATGATGGAAGGAGAAAAGGAACTCCCACAGGTTGTTCTCTGACCTACACACACACACACACACACACACACACACACACACACACTGAATTAATGTAATACAAATATTTTGAAAACAGAGTACAGAGAATTATGCAGTCTTTAAGATCTGTCTCAGGACAAGGGATCATCCCTTAGCTGACAAGGGGCCGAACTGAGCTGTAGACAGGCCAGACACTCCCACTGAATCCCTACCCTACCAAGACGGGGCCTTATCCATATCTTCCTCAGTACATAGTTCTATGTTCTGGAGACTAGACAGATAAGCTGTGGCCTAACCCACATGGAATGGACTTTCCCCAAGTCAGAAACCAGTCTAGTAGAACATGATGGGGGTGGGGCAGAAAAAGAGGACCTGATCACAGAGGGTCCAAAGAGTGAGAATAGTGGGGGTGAACCCAAGAAATGAGCTAATGTTCCTCTTTGGGCTACTGCTGACATCCTTTTTCCAACCCCAGTAGTGACTTCTCAGAGCTCCCCTTTTTGAGGCAGCTGACTGTTGCTCAACCTTTGCTTCTTAAACATTGCCCCCTGGTTTCCGGCCTTCATACCTACATGGTTCTCCTTCCACCTCCATGACACCAGTTCCTCTTCAGTTTTTTGTTTATTCACTTCTCTTCCTACAGCAAACCATACATCAGTGTCTAACACATTCTCTCTTTCTTTCTTCTTCGTTTTCTTTCTTTCTTTTAGTTTTTTGAGACAGAGTTTCTTTGTTGTAGCCTTGGCTGTCCTGGAACTAGCTCTACAGACCGGGCTTTCCACAAACTCACAGAATTGCCTGATTGTCTAACATGTTCTCATTGGTCATTTCTTGGACATCCCGTGCTCTCCAAGAGCACTCTCACTCCTCACAGAGTTGTGATTTCTTGCTTATAGTGGTTTCGTTTCCAAACTTAACTCCTTTGGCCCTGATCAATCCTTAATTCTAGGACACTCCCACCCCTTACAACAGTCTGCCAAGTGGCTGTCCTAGACACCTTACTTAATCCCCAAATGTAACAAACACCTTGCTGAGAAGTCTTCATGGAAGGAGGGCGAGCCATGCTGGGAGGCCACACACATTGATAGGCCTGGAGACCAAGCTGCTCTGGTGGCTGATTTCTCACTTCCACTCTTGACATCATGCTGCCAGAGGCTACCAGGCTCCTCTGACTGTTCTGCCTCTTTCCTGTGGTTTTGCATGATTCAGACAACACCAGAAAGGGGCTGAGCTATTGACGCTGGACCTGGAAGACTGAGACACTCCACTTGAAGACACATAGGTGTAAAGTCTATCCATCATTTCTTTCTTTTCTTTTCTAGGCAAGAACTTCAATGCACTGGACACTGCTACTGACAGAATCAAAAGACTGGAGAATGTACACAAAACTATCACTCTATGTTAAAAATTTTCTCATGTTGGCAACAGTATGCATTCTCAGGCAGAATTCTCAGTGGCTGTTAGAGTATATCCACTGTGAGGACCCACTGGGAATTTGGTGAACATGTTTATGTCAGTGTAGGGCCTTTTCCCCTGAGAATCCTCAGAAGGAAAAATGATATATCAAAAGCAAAGGGGCGAGGCTGGAAACTGTTCAGGAAATACTCCCTGGGTTCCTGCTCAGGGTTCAAAACTTCAGGAGAACAACAGGCTGCTTTCTGTGACTTTATTTGTCAATATTCACCTGCATGGCAGCCTCCACAGCAAGGATCTTGGGGGCTCTGTCCTTGTGGATGCTTCATATTGGCCTGATGATTTACTGGGCCTCCCTGTTGCGGGTTCCACTGACTGGTGGAGCCAATAGTACAAGTCGTGGTCTGTGTTCACACAGTTATCCGTGTACTCTGCATCCAGCTAATATGGCCACCATCACTCCTGTCTGTGCCTCTTCATCTTCTCGGAGTACTGGCAGAGCTCACTGGTAATTCCATATTGCTCTGGCCATGTTCTCCCTCGTTTGGCTTCAACTCCATCTGTTCCCCTTCAGACTGTTTGGTCTTCACTTATGAATGCCGGGGTCCTACTGCTGTCATGAAAAGGCTGCTCAGATCTTTTGAAGTATGAAGACTGTAGTGAGAATCCTTCCAAGCCATACGATGACCCAAGAACGCCCAACCTTATCGTCAGAGCACTGGGGAAGAACTTCCTGAGAGAAGTACCGTGGGCAAACAAAATGGACTCTCATGGCCTTTCTGTAGGTATTCTGGAGGCTTCCCAGCCAAGCCTCTGCAGGATGATAATGTTGCCAGTAACTCGCATTCACTGAATGAAAATATCAAAATGTGCTAGCTCTCCATCTTGACATCGCTGCTACTATCTCTGATGGAGAAAGTCTAAGTGGGCACTCATGGTCACACAATATGCCAATCTCAGACAGTGGGCAAACAGTGGTCTGTTTTTTTAAAGCATCCATTTCTTAGGGCTACTTTATGCTAGAACTCACAAGAAGGCAAGAGGAGCCCTTTGAGGATGGATGGGAAAAAGGATCAGACTCTCATTCATTCCTACAATATGAATTGCACTCCTCGTCTTTGTAAGGAACGATTTTAGGGGTTCAGGATGCAAAGGAGAAGGCAGACAAGGTACTATTCAAAGAGTACCAGGCATTGGCCAGATCAGTAGAAGATGACTAGTTCTCCAAGAAGGAAGTACAGGATTGAAGGGTAACAAAGGATTAAGGCCTAAAGGTCTATCCTGAGCTAAGAACAAAAAGAGAGGAAAAGATTGTTCCAGGCAAAGAAATTGCATGTGGGGAGACCCAAGGCCAGAACACACTGGGAACTCTTGTGGAACGGCAAGAAGTTGGTATGGCTGTACAGGGGAACGGTGGCTCATAAACATGAGGTGAGAGAAGGATGGGCCGTGCAAGACATCAGGGGCCCATAACAGTTTGAGATTTGGGAATCCAAACCAGTAAGAGTCATGAGAAAATATGAATTTAAATAAAATCATTTAGCCATTATGCGATCATCACACAACAAGCATCAGAAGGAACACTGTGGCAGGTAGAAGGTTGGGGTGACCTTGGTGGGATGATTACAAGGCTGGACCTTCTGAGGCCTTCTGTGGCCATCACATGACCTGGAGGATTTGCACTACAGTTCTTTGCATTTCATGTTAGGGCTATATAGGAGGGTTTAGGAGCAAAGGAGACCAATGGAGTCAAGAACTCTGTTCACTCGTATAACCCAGTGGCGTGGTGGAAAATGGTTTGTAGGAAGTTCACTTATGGCTCTAATTGTGGAGAGCTACCTGTAAGGTCTCAGAGAAAGATTTCCAGTCACACAGAGTTTCCAGATCAAACAAGGATACTCAGTTAAATTTGAATTTTAGATAAACAACCAGTGGTGTTTAGTATAAATCACTCCTAAACAGCACATGGGGGTATACTCATGGT